ACCCGGTTCTACAGTTCATGAATGTATTGCAAGCTCTCCAAACAGCTGTGAAGCAAAAAGGAAAGACTGATGGAGGCAAGAGGAAATACCCACGGGCTGTCTGCAGGCACACTGGCTTCCCGGGGGAAACTGGTTGTCTTTGAACTGGCTAAGACACAGATCAAGGAGAAACAATCCCTTCCATGTGTCAATACTCCTGTTATTAAAGTCCTGTAAAGTTTGTACACTGCTGATCAAAGGAGGAAGGCGAGACAACAGGAGAAGGAAAGTGCAGTGAAAGCATGAAACTGAGATCCCAAAATTTGACAGAGAAAAATTGGAGAGTTACAACTCAGTACAAAGGAAATGCACCAGACCTCAAATGCATTTTCAGGTTGGATTTTCAAGTAGTTTTCTCAGCAGTGTAAAGCCTTAGACATTAATTCCCTATGAAATGAGTGCCTTAGATGTTTTAGTCAGGTGATCAAAATGTCATCCTATATGGGATATATCGGACATAACTTTGAAAATTTCATTTATCCCAAGTAGCTATTTCATGGTCTCAGTGGGACAACATGCATAGAAAGCTTTTTCCCTTCACGGACACCCCAGCAAAGACAAATCTTCCATCCACGTGTTGTAGAATTTTTGAAATTGAAAGGTCAGCCCAAAATATTGAAGATTTGATCAGCTTCATGCCTTTGTCCATCACCAAATATAGAAAAAAATGTAATAAAAATTACTGCATGGAGAGTAATAAGTTGACCTCTTATCTAGAAGAGTTTCATATTGTTGCAATATGCCTCCTGTTTGGTACAATACTAATACAAATCATATCGCCGTCAGGGTAAACTGGTGTGCATGTGGTACGTAGGCCACAAATCCATTAGCTATAGGTTGTTGTAAAAGAATGGCAAAAGACTTGTGTGAACCTTCTAGACTTAGTCTTTTGTGGATAAAATTCATTATTTGATTAAGATAAAGCCTTTAGGATCTTGCAAGGATCAGGATCTCGTTGTGTACAAACCCCTCGCCTTTGTCCCCATGAGTTTACGGGACAAAGCAAAGACAGGAGAGGTTTGGTGAACTGATGTCCCCATGGTCACACAGGACCCAGGTGTCTTGGTTGGCAGCCTGTTGCTCTATCTGCTGGGCCATGCTTCTTCACAGAGTCACCTCTGCATTTAATATATATAAAATACAATAAGTGTTCTGTGGTTTTGTGTGCTTGATAATGGAGCAAATGCCAAAGGAGGACTGATCCTCTAAACCCAGACCTAGTATTGTCGAAGTTCACTCGTGATAGTTGATATTTATTAGTAGTGCTTATTGTTAATTCATAATGTAGTCTGTCACCGAAATATTACAAACCAAGCTTGCAGTCCCTGCCATTAGGAGCTCACAGGCAACACATTCATTTCCTCTACAGTGATAAAATATGCACAGCATATTCTTTCCTCCTGATTTGTATAAAATGAAGCTATTTGATGGATCCATCATGCTCTCTTAGGTATGCACAATAAATAAATCCAGAAACATTCAGTAAGTATCCTCAGCTTCAGGGATTACCAACAGGGGAATCAATTATGTAAATTGCTTGGGCCTTTAGAGTTAGACATACATACTGAGACTCAAATCAGTCATCAAGAGAAAACTTTAGCTTTCTCCTGAAATCTAGAAAGCTTTTTCACTTCATTGTAGATTTAAACCCTTTTTAGCTGCGACATTTTTCCTGTAAACACTGGGAGTTTAGCCTTACTGATAACAATGGTTTTTTTATCCAAGAAATTTGTACAACACAGAAAAGCTTGATAGGAAAAGGCAAAGCAATCAGTAAACTGAGAAATGCAGGACTAGGAATGCTTCATTCATTTAGGCCAACAATCACTGAAGTACATGACAAACTTGCTGCTTTAATTGAGCTTTCCCACACCCATATGAACAGTAGTCGCACCCTACCAAACTCTGGGGGGAAAAAAGGTTAGGTGGAGGGAGGGGAGATTTCAGGTCTTGGAAGAAGGGGCTCAGACACCACACAAAGGAAACAGTGGGTCTCCTCTTGACAGTCCTCCAGCTGTCTACTCCTCTACACTTCAGCACTCCCTGGTAAAGAGATCCAGCAGAGCCAGTCCATAGTCCTGCTGGCCTCTCCTGCCCTTTAAGATATCTCCACTTTGTCCACTGTTTCCTCCACATCAGCTCCACGTTGGTGTCCCTCACGACAGGTCCACTGCAGCATCTATCCCATGCCACCCCCAAATCTGACCATTCATATTCCATCACTGCTTCACTGAACTATCTCCTTTCCTGTTATTTCACGTTTATCCATCCCTTTGGAAGAATCCTCCTTTCCTGACTGTCATCCCTAATCCTTTGTCTCCAGATGCAAATTTCCTCCCTCCCTGTCCATCTGGGCTTGACACCGCTGCCAGACACCCTGTCACACCAGGGAATTACTCACAAGCAGAGCTTTTTGAATCCAGAAGGCACCACAGCTCACTGAAGGGAAAACAGCACACTGCTTCAGGAAACCATCCTGATAAACCCATAGCCTCATGTGTTGCAAGGCAAGACAAATGACTAAATTACCCAGTGCCTGTGCTGCTGGGCCTTGAATGATTTGTGCAGCTGGGGACCTTGCAGGATTGATTTGAGCCAAGGAGGAGGCTGAGTGTGGGAAGAAGTCAGGTATCACCTTGACACCAAGTGAGCATGAGATTCCCCTCTGCCACTCTCACAGAGTACCCGCCTCCTATGTGTCACCAGGTTTTCCTTTCCTTTTTCCCTGTCCTTCCTAGTCTCCCAGCAAGTCTTGCCACATCTTTAGAAACCTCCCAGTTTTTCTTCTCAGTGCCTCCCAACTCACATGGCCTCTTCCCGGGGGCCTGCAGCTCTCTCTGCTTGCTGAGCTTTAAGCTGGCATCATGCTAGGTACTGTGACATGGACATCCTGCTCAGGCCATTGATGCTAGGACATCTTTCTCAGCCAGGGCTGTTGTTTCCTACCCAAGAAGGAAACTTGCTGAGGTTCTGGTGCCACGCAGCAAGATCTGCATCTTCTCTTCCATCTCCTTAGCCTACCTCTCTTAAAAGGTAGGGCCCTCTTATTCAGAGAAAGGGTCACCTATAGGCTTTTCTCCTGTGACTTTGGGTCCTTGCCTCAGGAAAAGACCAGACACTGAAGTCCTGCTCCTCATTCACCCAGCATGACGACATGTACTTGTGTTCTGGAGACAGGGAGCTCGCAGGGCTCATGGACAGACCTGGGCTCTGCACTCCGAGCTGCTCCTCCTCGGCTGAGTGCGTGTGTCGAGGACCTGCGTACCCAGCTAAACTGTCCTGGAGAGCCCCAGCTGTCTTGGATGACAGTCTTCTGTCTCTATTAGCCCTTTAAAGCCTGGTTTAAGAAAACAAAACCCAACAAAACAAAAGTGGAAGAGAAGGGGCCTTCCTACAACATGCAAAGCTCTGACACCATGCAGGGTGACAGCTCTGCCACTGAGCGGATGAGCCCGAGTCTCTGCAACGAGTAGCTGCTGCAAATGGAGCACGCACGGCTCTGGCAAGGGCTGCGAGCACAGAGGAAAAAATCTGCCGGAGCATCTAGCTCTCGCACACGTGCAGAGGCACTTACTAAGCCACAATAACTGTGCTGCAGGGTATCTTTTGCCTTCTTATTGTGTGGGGATTAAGGCTTGGCTGCCTTGATGAGAAAGCTGCCCTGATTGCTCATAAACTCTCAGCATTCCCCCAGTTAAAACTGTTTTAAAGAGACAGGAAGGGCAATCAGAAAACAGTTCCCACTCTGTCCTTTAAAACAAACTTAATTTTGACACCTAATTATGTGCAATACAGACTCATTCCTATTGCCTTTGCTTTCTTGGTTTTGATCTCACGGGATGCTCACCCTCACAGGGACGGAGGCTTTGATTAGGAAGAAGCAAAGGCTGTTGAAGGGGAGAAAGCCTGACTCAATAGTGAGACCGGCAGCACGTTGCTGACTCTGCCACTCACCTGCTCTATGACCTTGGGCATGTTACAGCGGCATTTGGGGCTTTGGTTTCCCTGCTTTCAAAGGAGGAGGGGAGGCAATCATTTTCCTCCTACGCATCATGCTTGGAGACACAGGACTGCAAAGTGCTAAACTAGAGCAGTAAAACCGTTCCAGTAGCCTAATGACAGCTCCAGAGAAGTAGCAGAATCTATCCATTTTTCCCCATCTTTTTGAGCACAGATAATGAAGAGAAAAGAAAGCCCATGCCCTGGCTGAGAGCAAGCAGCAACTGTGAAAGTGATGCACTGAAATGTAGGAAACATGCTGGAGTGCAGGAATTCGGTTACATGGCTGTTTGCAAATTAATGGCTAAATCAATTAAATGAAAGCATGGGATTTCTCTTGAGGAAAGTCTAGTCACAGTCGCAAGGAGAAGGGGAGGGGTTGTGGAGTGGGGATGACATAATCACATTTGCGAATCACCAGCAGTGTGCATGCTTTAATCCATTAATGGGGTTTTTATCTGTGATCATAAAAAGCAGGTTACATTCAGCCTGGAAGGGAGTGAGGGTTGGAGGAGAGGGGAGGGGAGAGAAAGAGCAAGAGAGAGAGAGAGAGACAGAAAGCAAGAGAGAAAGAGAGCACAATTCACTCGGTGAATTGCATGCAAGCTTTGGGCTGATAATTAGGGATCTCAGGAGAGCAGTTTCTCAGAATAACCTGCTCTCCTTCGAATGGACCGAATGGAGACAGTGGTTCAGTCCTGCTGATATTTTTTAAGCCCTCCTCGCAGTTTGATGGGCATTCCCAGTGCTTTTGTGCACGTCTCGGAAAGCGTTGACGTGGAAAGGAGCAGCGAGGAGGGGGAGGTTGGAGAAAAAAACTGCAGCTCTTCTAAAAATACGGAGGGCATGCAAGAGCGCGAGCAGGCTGGGGAGGAGGGCGAGGTGAGCGCGCCTCGCACCATGTTCCCCGGGTGCCGGCGCGGTGCAGTTTCGGAGATGTCCCTCCTGTGACTGGACGCACCATGAGCATCTGGGAGGTGATCCTGGCTTTCGTGGTGGTGGTGCTGATGCTCGTGGCCCTGCTGGCCAACGTGCTGGTGCTGATGTGCTTTCTGTATAGCGCGGACATCCGCAAGCAGGTTCCGGGATTGTTCATCCTCAACCTCACCTTCTGCAACCTGTTGATGACTGTTTCGAACATGCCCCTGACCTTGGCTGGGATCATTTACAAGAGTCAACCAGGAGGAGATGAGATCTGCCACGTTGTGGGCTTCCTGGAGACTTTTCTCACCACGAACTCCATGTTGAGCATGGCAGCTTTGAGCATTGACAGGTGGATTGCTGTGGTCTTCCCTCTAAGTTATCACTCCAAAATGAGGTACAGAGATGCTGCTCTCATACTGAGCTACACGTGGTTACACTCGGTGTCGTTCCCGATAGTGGCAGCGTCTCTCTCCTGGGTGGGTTTCCATCATCTCTATGCCTCCTGCACCCTGTACAACAAGAGACCAGAGGATAGGACACAGTTTGTGATTTTCACTGGGGTCTTTCACACCCTCAGCTTCCTCCTCTCCCTTATAGTCCTGTGTTTCACATATTTAAAAGTGCTGAAGGTGGCACGGTTTCACTGTAAGCGGATTGACGTGATCACTATGCAGACGCTGGTGCTGCTTGTGGACATCCATCCCAGGTAAGGTGCCTGTGTGCTCAGCAGGTGAGACTATTCACCGCAGAGGAAGCGAGGTCGGGTTCGGTGTTATGTTAAATGCAGTCTGTGCTGTATCACAGCAGGGGATGGGGAGGGGGAGAAAACAAGCAGCCTTGCTGCCAGTCTCTGTTCTGCATGTTTCTTTTTACTTGTCTTTATTTTTCCGGTTGTAGAAGCAGCTCTTCTTTGTTGTGCTTAAGTGCTTCTTTGGGGAGGGAGAGCAAAGAAACAGGCAGTTTTGGCTGAGCATGCACTTCCCTTTGAGACAGTGAGGAGACCACTGCCCTTTGTGCCCGAAGGTGGACTTAGTGGTAGATAGATTTGCATTTTTTGGCACTGTCAGCCCAAAACGTTGCTGGAACCCTGAGAAGGAGCAGGCTGAGGCTGCACATGTCCCTTCACTTGGAGTTCGGGAGGGAAGCTGGGCGCTGCGTCCCGCTCCGTCACCCAGTGGTTTCCCTATTGCTGTGCTTTCTATAACTATCTTTCCTGAAGGGAGAATTGTAAGGGAATAACATCTGCAAAACGCATATGCTTGAATGCCTATACTTAAATCCAAGTGAGAGAGACTTCAGTAGCAGTGTTAATATGACAAGCAAGGGATGTATAAAGTTCATTTCAAATGAGAGTCCTTAAGCACAGGAGGAGAAAAGTCTCCGGGGACTGGGAGGAGAATAGGCTTGAAGGCAAGCACCAAATGGGTATGAATGTGTGCTGGGATGCTGTGCAAAAGAGTCACGTCAGGGATTATGCACAAACTATAAATCTTGCCTGAATAGGCTATGTCTGGATCCGGAAGGGATGCAGATTTGGCTGGAGAAGGGAGGGTGGGACAGGGAGTTTTCCCTGGGTCAGTAAGGGGAGCATAGTGGTAAAGCTGAAGGAGAGAAAGCCTTGCTGGATGGAAGCCCAAGGGCGGTGCTGGACCGGCAGTGATCCAGGCGAGGAGCTGGGGAAGGTGCCCTGTGCACGGGGGAGGAGGACGTCAGTGTGTGCTGTGAGTACGCGATGGCTCTGCCCACGAGAAGCGGAGACGAGGGAATGGAGAGGACCAAAACAGGCAGAGTTGGAAGGATGTGGGACCGGGCTGGTGAGAAGGGAGCAGCAGGACAAGCCAGAGTGATCTGCCTGGGAAACAGGGATTTGAGAAATGAACCTGCATGGCTGAGGCAGGACGGAGCAGGACAGGGTGGCTGATGGATCAGCATGTCCTGGCTGAGGGCTGAGGGCTGAGAGGCTCTGATGAGCTGGGGTGGATGGGGCTAAGACCCAGCTATGACTGGGACGGGGTGGCAGAGTCAACGAGCGAGCTCTGGAAAGGGGAAAACTGAGGCACCGGTCACAGTGTGGAAAGAAATCAGCCTGGTTTGCTCAGAGGAACTAGTCTGGCTTAGGGCTTAGCGTGGCTGGAGCAGGTGATTGGAAAAGGAAGAATCTGATGGTTTTGCCTGGAAAAAAAGGAGAAAATGGTTTGGCTAGGTAGGGTGACAGAGCGGCTGTGAGGGCTGCGTGTGCTTCTTCGGAGACAGTCAGAGACTGGATCTTAAGGTTCAGACTGTCTCTGCCAGAGACTGAAGGGAAATGTCTTTCAGAAAAATGCTGGCAGCTGGCAGTGCAGGATGGTGTCTGATACGGGAGAAGAAATCTGCCTGGAAGAGAGGAAAGCCGAGAGCAGTTGAAGAGGGCAGTCCCCTGCCAGACACCCCCCCTGACCCCCCGTGCCACCCTTTGCTCTGCAGGCTGGAGGTGAACACCAGCCCTCTCCATTTGCAGCCAGCCAGGAGCAGAGCCGCAGGGCTGAAAGCACATGTGGCTGTCCTCAAAAAAAGGTCATATTTCGGGGAGTTCTAAGCCTAAGGCAAATAAGTCTGAAAGGATCAGGGCAGGACAGCACACTGTTAGAGGAACAGAAACATTTGCTCAAAATTCTCCAGTTAGGCTGTTTGATCTGTCTCTTGACCAAGAATGCGGAGCAGAACTTTGGGCAAGTCCTGTTACTGTTCTTGAGAAACACATGTATAAATCTTCCCTTATCCACCAAGTCACACAGAGGAAAAAACACCCTTCTGCCCTACGTGCTGTCTGGTTGCTAAACTGTGCCCCGACTGGTCTTAGCTCCTGCACACACCATGAGATGCAGTGGTTACTCCCAGGGCAGTGCCACAGACCCACTGGGGCTATTTGAAATAGCAATCGTAATGCCTAATGCTTAAAGTATGCCTGGACCGCACAGCAAAGCCTAGAAAAAGGGCAAAAATCTCAATGGCATTTCTCCTCCTCTGCATTTTTTCTGGTCCAGGTTAACATGAGGGTGTTCCTGTGTTTTGTAATCATCTCACTAAGGGGTGGATTAAGTGGGGCTATGGGTATGATACCTCCTTTCTTCAGAGGGGACAGAGTTGTATGGGCACTTTGCTGCGAGTAACCTGTATTACTAACCATTATTCATCTCTTGCATCAGGTTATTCTAGTGTTTTTCTCTAAGAAAGGAGAGTTTTAGCTTCTTTGCTAGACTAGAGAAATGGTGGCTGATTTGGCCCGTGGTGGTGCTGCCTTAACTGGTGACAGCTACTGCTGCTCCTAGGGTCAGATCTGGGATTGCCTGCCCTACTGCGAGAGCTGCACAAAGGCTGCAGGTCTCCTGGAGCAGGCAATCACGTTCATAAAGCTCTGACATAACAAAGGCATCGTTTGAAATATATAAGTGGTATATGTACAGGCGATTTCGGTATTTACTATAGTACCTAACAGCATAGACATGGGTGCTGGGAGAAGCCACATGAGAGAACAAAGTCTGTAATCCCACCTTAGACTACCCTGACTTTTCTGGCTTTTTGCATGGTCTAGTTTCAATGCTGAGAAATGTGTACGGACAATTTTCTGCTTCCTATGAGTTAGAATCCACCCGCAAGGGGGTCTAGCGACAGGCATTATGACAGATGGCTTTATTACCTGTGACTTGGAAAGACACAAGTGATCTTCTGAAGATCATTCAAGACGAGTACACAGAAAACCTCTAAATACCACACAAAATCGTGTGAATGTTTAGGGCACATGTCCTTTCAAGTTAGCTTAGGCATTTTTACTGGCTACTGCTTTTTCTTGACTTTGTTTTTAAGACCAAGGTATCTTAGGTATTGTGAGAGGTCTGGGCAAGACTTCACTTAAGTGCTTAACCCACGTGTTTCTTCATCCAAATTATCTATACCATCTTTTTGGTGTATCCAGCTTTACAGATCTTAAGGTCCAGTATCTCATAAACTTTGTTTAAAATACCAAACCTTCAAAGGGATATATCTCAGATTTTCCAGGATATGAAAATCTTTAAATGAAAGCTTAGTCAATAATCCAGTTCTATTACTAGTGTCACTAATGGAACTTGCATATATGTTCTTATCTTAGTGCATAAAAATGTGTGCAAAAGCAAAATACCCATCTGTGTACATTGTCTGTATGAAGGAATGAGATAAAATACCTTCCTCTGTGATGTGGTATTTAGTAGCTACATCTGGAAAGGCTGAAAAAAAGAAATTGGTTGAAGTCTATCAGGACTTCCCGAGTCATGTATGAGCTCCAGGAGTCAAAGGCAGCTTTGTATGTGCCAGTAGGGAAAAGATATAACTGGAGAAACTGTTAGAGACAAAAAATACACCACCCTCTGCACCCTAACAACACCCTAGTTGAACCTACTTTGGAGACTTCTTTTCCTATATCGCCGTGTGCCTGCGATACTATGAATTTAATAACGCAGGTCTTAAGCAAAGCTGTTGAACCTCTAAGATCATCTGTCTGCACCTAAAAATACTCCAAGTTCTCCAGCTCTTGCAGAACTGAAACCACATAGGTTCCCTTGAAAAGGTGGATTTTTTTTTCCTTCTCAGCTGTCATTTCTTGCTGCAAATAACTCAGACATAGAACATGTAACACTTTTAGATGTGTTTGCATTCTACTTAGGCATATTCTTTAAGAGTGAGATGATTTGTTATTTCAAGCAGAAAAACCTTTTCCTCTAGTATTTTGTTCATTTTGCCATCATGGTAGCTGCTCTGGGGACTGGCAGCGTAAGCCCATATATAAAACAGATCAAAGGAAACATGTTTTCTTTAACACAACCAAGAGGTAACATAAGAACCCACCGCCGCAGGGATCATCGAAGCACACCGAGATCCTGAGGACGTAATGTGTTTAGATGATGATCAAACATTTGCAGGTACAGCAAACAATGTGAGGGTATGGCCATAAACCTCGCAGCTATTAACATATGTGAGTGGGGAACCTGGCAGTGAGTCACCAATTACGAATTTACAATAAAAACAGAGACCACTGCCAAGCAGTTACAAAATGCAGCACATGGGCCAGACCATTCGGTTTGCCCAAGCTGTGTGATTGCTTTACCACGGGACCTATGCAATGAGGCAACACGTAGCAGCACTGCTATATGCGTAGAGAGGGATTTCAGGAGTGCAGTCTGGCTTTGGTTTTGCTCTTTCCCAAAGGGACTAGTTCAGGTACAGATGGCCCTGAGGCTCTGGGAGATGCCACCAGTGCTGCCCATCCAACCCACCTGCCTGGAGAAGACTGTAACTCATCCATTTCCCTCAAAATGAAGGACATGGACCTGTTGGAACAGGTCCAGAGGAGGGCCACAAAAATGCTCAGAGGGCTGGAGCACCTCTGCTATGAGGACAGGCTGAGGGAGCTGGGATTGTTCAGCCTGGAGAAGGGAAACCTTATTGCGGCCTTTCAGTACTTAAAGGGGGCTTATAAGAAAGATGGGGACAGACTTTTTAGCAGGGCCTGTTGCGATAGGACAAGGGGTGATGGTTTTAAACTAAAAGAGGGGAGATTCAGACTGGATATAAGGAAGAAATTTTTTACTGAGGGTGTGGTGAAACACTGGAAGGGGTTGCCCAGAGAGGTGGTGGATGCCCCATCCC